TTGACAGCAGTTATTTCTTTCATATTAAGTTAATTCGTTCATTTATTTACTTATCATTGGAAATCGAACCATTAAAATTAAGTCTTAGAATGTGAAGATCTGTTCATTAGATATAAAGTTATTCAGGGTGGCTCATTTTTTATTTTGCGCTTTGTACTTAATTTCTTGGAAGATATAAAAAAACATTAATCACCTAAATCTCAAATATTTGATGTTTTCCTATCACTTCTTAAATTAAATATTCACTGTCAAGAAAAGCATAGAGTTTGAAGATTAAAAGAAAAAATTTGTAAAAAGTGCATTAGAATAACAAACTATATTATGTATAAGTATGAATTAACATTTCTTAGTAACTTCTCATATTATACTAAGCCTATTTTTTTTAAAATTCAAAACCATTTTGAACATTGGTGTAAATTATGCTCTCTAGTAAAGTATGTCTTCTAAAAGTAGTTTGTAGTCGCTATATTTAATTAAATAGTAGTAGTTAACTACAATTGTAATGAAGTTAACTACAAAGAAAATTTTGTTTTTCTGACCACTGATCATAATACAGTAGATATATATAATCATAAAGACTCTTGATTTTATGAAAGCTGATTTCTTTACAGGTATAAAATAAATAAATATTGAACAATTTAAATCTCAACATTGAACTTATGAGAACAAATACAATTCTAACTCCACATCCAGGCCTATTTTCTGACCCGAGATAACAATAAATCTCAGTAATTAATACAATCAAGATAAAATCGTCTACAGAGCAGTAATAACAGAGTTGCCAGCTGACTGAAACACTCTTTAAAAATAGCGTAATAACAATAAAGTAAAAAAATATTTTGCTAGCATTTAAAAGCATCACCACACGCTTACCAGGTCTTGCTCGATGGGTGATCGAAATAATTTTAGATTAAAGCATGACTATCTTAATCTAGAAAGAACTCCCAGAAAAGAAGTTGGCAGCTAGAAAGACACCATTCTCACTTTTTATTGAAAGAATAGTTCATGTTTAAAACTTTTTACAGGATATTAGCTCACAAAATAGAATTTAAACAAATTTATTATTATAGTCTATTTAAATATTTACTAAGAGTGAAACAACAAATTTATTTGCTGAGAAGTTTGCACATTGCAATTGAACAACAAGCACAAGTTGTTTGAATTACATATTCATTCAATCCATAAATCTCTTTTTATTGTCAGTTCCAAAATTATTTTATGAAGTTTACAAAAATTATTTTAAAATAGTGATATCTTTTAAAATTTTATCAATACCACCATGTTAAATTATTATGATTAAAATGTAGCCTTTTCAAAACTCAAAGTATATATTTTTTTCAAGAAAAGTGCTAATTGGATAATTTAATTGTATTTGGCACATATTTTAGGAAGTATAATTGTAAGGATACCTTTATTGTGGAATTTTGTATTTAGTTTCAAAATCTTAGATTTAAACAAAAAAAATTTCTGTTGATTTCAGAACACACTTTTTAGTCTCATTACCTATTATCTAAAAAACATTTGTGAATCCCTCATTTACAAAATCTAATTAAATTTCATAAAAATTTTTTTAAACCTGAAAGAAAGAAAGAAAAGAAACATTTTGCCGTAAATGAATTTGCTGCTGAAAAATTCAAATTAATATTGATATTTTTAAAATAATTGGATTAAACTAATTTTAGAAGGGCAAAAGTAAAAATTCTCGTTTTCAAAAGAACACTTAATTTTTGATGTCACATGTTGGATGCGGATCTCTCTCTTTTACTTTCTTTACAAAGTTTTCTTAAAAATTTTCATAATTTTTTTTTTAAAATTGAAAAAAAAAAAAGAAAAGAAAACTGACTAATTGTTGTAAAGTAAATGCTCCTGAAAAACACTAATCAATATAGGTATTTTTAAAATAGTTGGATTAGACTACTAAGGGCTTAAGTAAAAAATTATTTTTTTAATTTTATTTTTAAACAATACTTTTAACTTTTGATGTTGGATGAGAATTTTCGATAACATACTCTCGTACAATCAGAAGATGAGACACAGTCTTTACTGACTGAAATCTCATCATAGATTTTTTTTAAAATGAATAAATAGTAACCTACCCATAAAAATAACGATATTAAAAATATTTCTCATAAAAAAAAAATTTCTGCAGCCAAGTGAACTGGTTTTTAGAAGACAATATTTAAAAAGTATTTAGCAAAAAGTGTAATGTTTTTCAAAAATGCAGCATTTCTTTAGAATTATTTTTATATCTAGTTTTGTTTTCAACACACACACACATATATGCAGCATTATGTTGATAGGAATGTTATGTTAAGAACAGCATTTAGGACAACATTTGAACAGGCAAGATAGAGGTAAATCATCACTGGTTTTAAAAATATATTTAGAAGTAAAAATATAAAGTATTGCTTATTTTATATTTTTAAAACCAGAAAATACATACAACAAGTTAGAAGAACAAATATTTGACACCTAATGATTCTACATTTAGGGGCTCCAATAGCTTTATTTTTTCTTTATTAATACCAGCTGAACAGTTATTTGATCCATTAAATTTTAATTATATACTTAAGTGAAATTTTTTTTTTTAAATGAAAAAATTATAAGACTGTAAGGAAACAAGATACAGTGAAAGCTCAATAATCCGAAATTTGACCCTCTGGAAAGCTCAAATAGCATGGACTTTAAAAAGTTTATATATAGATACATAAATATATATAATTAAATTTTTTTTTTCTTCCATTGATCAGAGATTCAAAAGTATGGATCCAGTATTTTCTTAAAACGGTTATTGTAGGGAGGAATTTTTACTTGAGAACTGTCAGTTGCAGTTTTATTTAAANATATATGTATTAAACAATTTTTAAGACTACAGGGCTCACAACATGTTTTAACAAAAAAAAAAATAGAGGATCATTTGTAGTTAAAAAGGTACCTTTAGAGAGCCATTTCATGTTCAAAAAGAAGACTTCAGAGTACCATTTACAGTTTAAACCATTCATATTCAGATATTACAATAAATATTTGGTTAGTGTTCTTAACGTACACATTAAAAAATCAGTTAAACAGAAATTACTTAGATATAAAATCTTACAAACAATAAAATAGATAGGAATAAGATTCTTAACTTAATAATTTATTTTCAAACACTGATTTTTGAAGAAAAATAAATAAATAAATGAATTTGAAACTTATTTAATATTGCACATTGATCTGCAACAAAAATTTTATAAAATATTTTTTTTTTTTGAAAAAAAGAGAAGAGAAAAGTTGTTACCAAGAATTTCTTTTTTTTTAAAACTCTTTTTCAAGAGTAATTTGGAATTTAACATAGACAAATCCCATCTTTATAGACTTTCATTTGCATAATTTTTTCCTCTACAAAGTACATGTTGTTAAGAGCTTTCTTTAGTCTCTTATGTCATTAAATTAATATTAGGTAAATTATAAATTAACATTGTACTAATATAGTATAAATTAATATTGTAGTGCTAAAGATATGTTGATTTAGGCAGCAAATAAACAGATTTATTTTGAATTGTTAATTGGTCACAACCAAAACAATCATAAAAGCAGGGTAAACTTATTAAAATACTGATTAGAAAATATTCTCTAAATTTTAAGATAAGATTCAAAAATAGTAATTTCTATATTTCTTTAACACTAAACGTACCATAACCGATCAAAAGTGGCTGTAAAGTGTTAGTATGTTAAGTGTCAGTTAAATAGTTTAAAAAAATTTTACTAACACTTCAAGAAAATATATGGAGTTAAAATTAAATTAGTATGGTCCCTCAAAAGTTGATTAGCATCAGCTACACTTTGTAAAATTTGTACTTATTGAATCATTAATAGTTTCAATTGTTTTTAAACAGAATCAGAGGAATTGTAACTGCATTTGCTAATAATGTGTATTAGAAGTGAAGGGTCCCTCAATTCAGTTCTTTCTATAAATCTCATGATTGAGACAATATTGAATGTTTCTTTTTCTTTCACAAAATTATATAAAAGTACGGAAAATTCTTAAAATCACAAATCTACGCAGATAAATAACTCTTTAACTAATATTTATAGTTAAGAGTTTTCCTAATTTCAAATGCAAATAAACATTTAAATTGAAGTTAACAGAAAATTTAATGAATAATTGATTTTTTTTATATAAAGCAGGTGCAAAATTTTTGTAGAAAATTAGAATTAAATGCATATTCTAGCAAAAATAAGGTCAACACCAAAGTATCCAGAATTGTTGGTTTTCGTCTATTTCGTACAATCGAGCTTTAACTGCACTTAATTCTGTCTTCATTTTTTTACAAGGTTGAAAATTTATATAATATCAAAGACAATTAACAAGATAAAAAAACTTGAAACACATAAACTAGAATATACCGGGCTGTTTGTCATGTTGCTTTAAAAACACAGATTGATAAAAGTTTTTCTTAATAAAATCTGATTTCTGAGAACCTAATCCTAGACTATCTAGGTGTACAGAATTATGTTGTGGTACAAAAACTAACAAAGTTAAGAGAAAAAAATTGCTTCTTTGTTTTGTGAAAACACAAAAAAAGGGTATTAAAAGGGTAAGGATAAGTCAAAATAATTTATTTTTACATAAAAAAGTATACAGATTTCTATATATTTAAAATTTTTAAATTACATATCCAAAAGCAAATTCAAATGTGCAAAAATATCTAAAATTACAATCTCAAAGACTTGAGTTAAATCAAATTTTCTTTTTAATCAAATTTTCTTTCTAATTTTTTTTTACAATCTCCTAATAATATTGATGTTTTTAATAATTATGGGAAAAAATTATTGCTAACACATTTTTAAATTAATCATGCCACAGTAACATTAATTTTTAAATTTTTTTAGCCAAAAAGAAACATGAGGTAGCCGTTACTAAATAATGTTTGAATGAAAAATTTCAGATCATTTTAAACATCGTGAAACAAGTAAGATATAACAGAACATGTATTTTAAGTAGGACAAAATATGCTAACTAAATTCAATGCAACTTTATATTGTGTAAACCAATAACAAAATAGTTTGTAACAATTTAGTGTTGGTGAGGTATTCTAACTAAACAATTCCATTTGAAAACATCGGCTAGTAAGTGCTTTCATCCTTGCAATTGGAACCCCAGGCCCCATATATAATTACTATTAAGTTATACATAAATATAATCTAATAAAACAACTAAACTTGTGATATTATTCTTTTTAATTTGCACTAATAAAGTTCTTTTTTATTTCAAATTTGTGTACTTTCAATAAAAGCTTTCAAAACCGAGCTTTCGCAAGGGTGCGACTAGTCTAGTTTACATAAAAGGATTCTGACTGACTGGTGGTGGAGCATTTGTGGCAAAGAGTGCACTCTGTAAAGGCATGCTGGCGGAAGTTGGCAGAGTGCTGCTCTCGGATGGTAACGGAAAGGCTGTGTTCTGTGCCCTGATTTCATTTATAGTCATAGGGGCAGGCCTAGCAGCCTGGAAAGGATTGCCTGAAAAAAAAAAGTATTAATACTTACAAGAACAAAGCCATGTCAAACCTATTTCTATTAAAAAAAAAAATAGTTCTTTAATACATAATTAATCAATATAGACATTTTTTCATTTTTATTACTAATACTTTAACTTACAAAATAAATGGTATTTTATTACAGGATTCCCTCTCAATTTCAGAAAAAAAAGTCCTTGACTTTTCCAGATATACCAGGTAAATTTCAATGATAATTGAGACCATATTTTCATCAGAAAACTTTAATTCTTTTATTTGAAATGTGAAATATTAGATTTTCTGTGTAAAAAAATATTATTAAATGAGGGTGGGAACATTTCAGTACATACACAACATTTTTACAACAAATAAATGAACTAGATGATAGAATTATTTAATTTGAATCTCAATAACTGATTACTATTACGCACAATTTTAAAACTTCTAAGGTTATTTTCTAGGTATGATATAAGAATATTCCAGGTTTTTGTAAAAAAATTGCAACTTTCCCTGATGATTCCCTAACAATTCCATGTTTTCCCTGTTCTCCCGACCCGTGGGAGTCCTGTTTTAATACTTATTTCTCTGCAAAGCAAAATTCATAAAAAAAAGAAAAAATTATTTTAGCATAAACTAACCTTTTTTTAAAAGAATTAAACTTTTTATTTTTTTATTTAATAAAGATACTTCAATAACTTCCATTTTTAATTAGTTCAATTTCATAAATATAATTAAAATTAAAAATAAACCATGCAATTCTGCCATTTTGATTACAAAAGCAGATTGTTATTCTCAACGAACCCGATTACCATAATCATGTTGAGAACTTAGTTAGATAATAAAGCCGGACGTGCGCATGTCGTGTGTGGATATATCGGTGGCGATTCTCCAATTTTGCTGAAACATTTATTGTAATATAAAAATAAGTATCCGCATGCAGGAAAAAAAATTTTCAGTGGGGGAAAAAAATACGGGCAGCGTAATCATGATTTATACAAGGTGGAAGAAAGTCAATGTTTCGTTGTATGCATCGTGCTACCAAAGAGAAAAGATATAACTGCCACTTTTAATGCAAAGCTTAGCAATTCCATCATTAGCGGTAGAGCCTACAATCAGCTGATTTTTTTAACTTGATATGACTATCGTTTCACAACGAAAATAGACGATTGCGGTGACAGTAGAAAAACTTTTAATGTAATTTCGTTAGTAGCAAAATTACTAATACTACTTAATATGATAATTACTTTATATGAATGTAGTTCTACGTATAACTATTATTATAATTTTTTTATTTTTTATGTTCTTCGTGTTATAGCACAAGTATATGCATATTTTTTTGTCAAGAATAAATAAAAATATTAAATAGTTAACTGATTTTGTATATTTAATAAAATTATTCTATTACAATTTAAAATATTATGAGCTTGCAGATACTTTTGGATTGTGTGCACAGATACTTTATGTTTCTATCTTACTATGGTTGAGAATATGAAGGCTTCTGTCCCTTATGCAATTTGTAAGTCTGGCTCAACTATTTCTTATTCAACTGCTACTTAAAAAAAAGTTCTTTTTCAGGCTACACTAAACGTAACGTCATTCCTTTTATTTCAAATTGTGCCCATTTTTATGCCCTTCCTTAAGTTTGCAAGTCTCAACTTGCTTTTAGACCTATTATCTCGAACATTCAAAACACGGGCTATAAATTTGCTCACTATTTACAAGGTGCGTAGTCAGATTTTTCAACAAAAAATGAGCACCTTTTACGTACTAAAAAATATTTTTAATCACTTTCCAAAAAAATAAATAAATAAATAAATAAAAAATTAGGATCTGTGCAGTAATAAAACATATTTTTTCGATCGTTAAAGTTCTTAATTTATAAACATAAAAATTCAAAATCATTTTCAAAAACTTTATATAATCATGATAAACTAACTAGTTTCTGATAAATATTGCAGAGAAAATTGTGAAAATCATGCATTTTTTTGTGTAATTTAGTACGAAAATCGACACGGCAAAAGAATCTCCTTTTAAAAGATAAAAGCACTTTTTATGAACCACGAATACAAAAACACCTTTAAGGGCTATTAAAAAACTGTAAATCAAAAATAAGCACTTTTTAAAAACTTTAGTATTTAGCTTGCATCACCTGTTATTTTAGGTAATTTTTTAAATTCCCTGTATTTTCCAGGTTTTCCCTGTGGAGTGGCAACCCTGAAAATGCTTTTTTAAACCAATGGTAATTTATAAAAACAAATTGACAGTTTACCCATGTGCAACTCCCATCCTCATTCTTTGTGACATCCATGCATTGTTTCGAAGAAAAGGTTTTTAAATTGTTCAAATTCTCATGGTGGAAAAGATATGTTGACGATAATTTTGTCTTACTAGACACGATACTCACGAGCTATTTTCTGTTATCAACTTGGTTGACTCCAACATTCTATTTACTATATCGTGAAAATTAATTTTATTTTACCTTTTTAAGATGTTCTTGTAACTAAATACAGTAGAGAACCATTTATCCAGTAAACCGGGGAGAATTTTTCTTGGTTTTCCCGCTATTTTAAAATATAAAGATAAGCGGAAATTTAACTCATCCTTGAAGCTGAGTAGAGGGAAAGGGGAAAATTTTTCTCCTCCTTCGCCCAGAGAAACTTCAATTCTTCCTCTAACCTTGAAGATCGAGAGGGGGCAGGGAAGGGACAAATGTTTTATTTTCTCCTGTGTCAGTTGTTTTTCTGATAAGCTGCCGTCAATCGAACTCAAAGGAGTGGCATGCTGTTTTCGTTTTCTCTTTGGTTTACGAGGGGGTGGGGAAAAGGCATTGCACAAGCAAATCAATGAATGTCCAAGTTAAGGAACTTGAAACTTCTGGCTAAGAGTATTGATTTTAAAGGTGAATTTTTTTTAAAAAAAATTCCGTTGATCTTATAATATCCTGCCTTGTTCCAAGTTTTAATATTTATGTTAGTGCCTTTTTAAATATCGGTTCCGTTTGATAATTTTCAAGCGTTGTTTTTATTTAGATTAATAAGTTTTCCTTCCATCATCCCCCCTCCCGCATAATAAGGTATGAAATATAATGCGTTTTTCAATTATTGGTTTTGTTTTATATTAGTTAATGCGAATTTTGTATTTTTTAAACTTGTTTTTCTTGTCTAAACTTGCAAATAATTTTATCCCTTTAAATGTTATTTTTCTACCATTTTTTTCTTTTTTTTTTTTTAAATTTAGGAGATATTTTAGATTTTTTCTTATTTTAAAAAGTTCTTCACTTTTTACCTGTAATTTGGGTTTGATAAAACATCGATTAACGTCACTTTTAGCCGATCCAGAAAACCGGGAAATTCAGACATCCGGGATAGAGATGGTCCCGAGCATCCCGGTTAATTGGTTCTCTACTGTACTATGATAATTTTTCCAGCTCTGTTTATTGTAAATATTTTGCCGTCATCCTCCCCCCATGTTAGTTCTAACTTCTCTAATTGTGGGAAAATTTCTGCATTTTAAGTTTTTGTTTCTGGTTCACCAAACCTTTGCCCCGATGCTTCTTTTTGAAAAACTCCAAGCTTAAATTTCTCCATTTGTTTGGATTTAACTCATCTATAGCTGATTCAGCTCTTGCTAAACTCACTAACAACACTTCTCCTCAAATATTTACTGAGAACTTGTCATTTTTGTTTTTTCTCCAGCTAATATATTGTCCCATTTTGGTTTTAAAGTCATTTTTAAGCCAGCTAGCAAAATTAAATCTGTCTTTAAAAGAACTTTTTATTTTTAATAATTGCTCAAAAATTTACAACAAATCTTGTCAATGTGACCTCTACTATATCAAACAAACTAGACATGCTTTAAAATTTAGACCTAAGGAACATAATAGATATGTCGTTCATAAAGAATAAGAGAAATCATCAATCGCTGCACATTGTTGGAATCTAGGACATAAATTCAATTAAGACAATGCCAAAATTATGTCCACGTTAGTCACATTAATTAATCTTGAGGAAATCATCATTTATTCATATAAATGCTGATCCCCTTGTTAATTTCTCACCACTCCTTCATAGGGCATGGAAATGCATTTTACTCTAATTTGCTTCTCTCAGTCACAGTGGTTTTACATGTTCTGTCTCTTTGTATTTCATGTTTATTTTCTCTCAGCTACTGAGGTTTTCAAGTTTCCTTTCTCACCTTTGCTTTATATTTTACTTTGGCAACTTTACGTTTTATATTTCAAACCACTTTTATCTCTTCTCATTTACGCCTGACAAGTCTTGAAAATTGACGCTTATTTTTGAGCGCTTGAAACATGTCGACTGTCTTGTCAAATTTGTATATTTTTGAAGAAAGAAGTTTTTTTAATCAAGTAAAACCATGTAAATGCAGGATTTGGATTTATTGAAAATAGAAATTTTAAAACAATGAAAATCAAAAAAGTTAGAGAACCTTATAATTGTAAAATTTGTATCTTATAATTGTATAACTTATAAATTTTTGCATTTATGATTTCTTTTAACAAAATTATTTTACTTAGACCAGTGATTTAAAAAAAACTTATACATTTTTGCATTTATGATTTCTTTTAACAAAATAATTTTACTTAGACCAGTGATTTTTAAAAAAAAACTTATACATTTTTGCATTTATGATTTCTTTTAAAAAAATTATTTTACTTAGACCAGTGATTTAAAAAAAAAGAAGAAAATACTATATTTAAAATGTCATTCAAAACAAGTTGATTTAAAATAACAAATCCTGCTGCAAAGCGATTTCGTTTGCTCATATTTCTCATTTTAGAAAATTTGCTTTAAGGTGGTTAAAAAAAAAATTAGGCTGAAAGTTTAAGTTTGCCGATAAAAGTGATATTCTTAATTCCAAATTTAAATAAAAAAAAAGATTATTTAATTTATACATTCTAAACCTTCAACAACAGTAAGAAAACATTTTTGATTTGCAAAATTTCACAAAAATAACAAGTTTATATACTCCTCTTGTTATACACTCAAAAAATATGAACCAACTCTGCATTTCCAAACATTGGAATTTTCCAGTCTTAAGAAAGAAAAATAATAGTTTATTTATTGCTTTGACTTTGCAATAATAATCATTAACATTTAAAAGAATGTGAAGCAATCATGTAATTCCATGTATAAAAAAAACTTAAACATTTAAAGCTAGGGAATATGCAGTCCATTCAAATGCTAAGGAATACTTATATGCTAAGAAAAGCTTCCCACAGTTAGCCTGATGGCAAGGGGACTCTAACCCATCATCTGTCTACCACTGAGGATATTTTACGTCAGCACAGTGGTCAATGCAAGTCGGGTGCCGAATTCATATTGACCAGCCATTGCTGGGATTCAAACCCAGTTCACCTCAATGGAAGACAAACATGCTCTATCTCTTGAGCCATCGCAGTTCATAAATTTGATATAATTATTACTTACACCACTCTTATGTTTTAAATATCTTGAAACCAGGGAGTGCATATACTTACCAAGTGTTCTAGAACGAGGAGCCGAAGGATCGAAATTGATTAGTGTAGATTCAGTACCACTTAAGAAAGCATCTAAAGATCTAACACCGTCTTTGGATGATGATGACACATCGGCAGATATCGACTTTCTCATGTTCATCATATCAAAGGAGCCTAAACATTAAATAATAAAAATTTAGCTCCTTTATTTTATTTGAAAACATACAAACTAAATGCAAAGAAATATTTATCCATGTAATCGCATAACATTAGCAATGAGAGGAAGAACATGGCATAAGTTTTAATAATAAAATAATGATCTTTCAAGAAAATTACACAGAAACTACAAAGATTGTCGTTTCAAAAATAAAAAGGGCAGAATCCTTTTGTTTAAAAGTCTGTCATAGCTGCAGAGGCTTCATAAATATAGATAGTTCTGCATCAATCAAAGATTGGATAAGTGAAATTTGTACTTATTCTTTTTTTAAAAAAAGTGAAGAATAAATATGCCTAAATGCAATGCATAATTTAATGAAAAAATATAGCGCCATTTTTATATAAGGTTTCTATTTTAAACCGTATACAAAACCTTTGATTAAAAAGTAAACCTTTAATAATTCTCTCTTCTGTTTGAGAAAACATATGTTATTCAAGTTTTAGACATTTTGAATTTTTTTTCTTCTGGTCTCTGAGGATTTGAATTGTCCTGTACAGTGTGCTAAAAAAAATAAAATAATAAAAAGGAACAATCTAAATAACTTTTGATCTAATGATCAGATTTTCACAATCTAGGAATCAATCTTAACAGTTCGAGGGTGAATTTAACTATGTTAAATACATAGCGCAGACGATATTTTAAGTTACGAAATCAGACATAACAATGTAATTTATCTGAATAAAAACATATCTTCTTCTCATGGATTCGGGTTTCTGACAAGCAAAATATACAGGCTAGCCACAATCTGGAAAATATGGTCCCCATAGTTTGGTCAGGAAAGCAATCAAAAGTTAGGAGTTCTTAATACTAATTTTACTTTTTGGTATTTTGCCATATCTCAAGAACTTTTTAAGCAAATAGAAAACTTTTTGCACTTAATTATAAGATTTGCCAATTCCAAAGATAAAAATCCTTTAAATAAATATTTATTATTTTATTTAATAATAGTCAAAGAATTTTTTTAATTTCAAAGTACACATATGTTTACATAATTTAAAGAATGTAATTTCACATACCAAAGTACAAAATTGGTGAAACAGAGAAATCGAATTTAAAATTCAATCATTCAAAATTCGATTTCTCAGGAACTATTCAATTAAATTCGCCCAAATTTCGTATTTTGCTATATAAAATTACAATGTTTAAAATGACGTAAAATTTCTTACATGTTACAACTCAAAATTTTTTCGACTATTAATAATGAAATAATAAATATTTATTAAAAGTTCAATTTCCTTAAAAACTTTCTAGAAAGTAATCTCAAGATATGGTAAAAGACATAAAAAGTAAAACTAGCATTAAGGGGTGTAAACTTTGGATCGCTCTCCTGATGAAACTATGGGGATCATAGTTCTCGTATTTTGGGTGTCAGAAATCAGCTGAAAAAAATGGTATGCTTGTTCCCAAGAAAGTATGTTTTTGTATCTGATTTCTTAACTTAAAATATTGTCTGCACTCATTAATAAGTGTGTTTGAAGTCTGCTCTCGAACAGCTGAGACCTAAAAGGGAAAAATCCAATCAAAAGTTATTCAGGAAAGTCTGTTCTTTTCTAGTGCACAATACAACAATAGCAACTTATATATAGATATAACGGATGATGCCAGACTTCTAACCTGTGGCCCAGCGAGATTCAATAGAATTTTAATGAATAAACACAAATCATTATAAAAGCCTGCTTAAAAACAGTAAGGTCATCCTTAAAATTATCCATTTGCATGCTAATAACGATATTTTCAAAGAATTAACACAAAGATAAAAGCTGAATTCAAATTGAGGATGATTCTGCTTTAATATTATAATATTGATACCAACATGAATGAAATTAGTTGGCTTATAATTTTTATTGAAATCCAAAAAGGTGTTTTTTAGGAAATTCATTTATTTCTTATGTTACTATGGCAAAAGTAAAATCACACATCAGAAGAAAAGATGAGAATAATTAATTAGATTTTTTAAAACTTAAGGGCTACGCTCATATTTGCGATTTTGAAACAAGTTTTTTCTAAACCTTAATAAGCTGGTCATTTAGAATTATCAAAATAATTGAAGTTATATACTTCAAGAGTAAGATTAGGAGTACAGTAAATCTTGATTGCCACAGGTTAGATAAGAGCAATAGTACTATTTCATATGCTGGTAAATACAGAGAAATTAACCACTATGATTAAAAGGGAGAGTAACAAAGAAAAAATTTTGAAAATGGCATAATTATCATACCCTTTACAAGGATAATCTTTTTTAAGTGGTAGTCTGAGGAAAAATGGATTACAATTGAAGGCTTTTTCATTCCTAAACCTAATAAACCCACTGTTGTATAACTATCATGTACAGTATACTCTCGATATCATAAAGTTCAAAGGGTGCTAAAAAATTTGAGAGATAGCGAGTTTTCGAAATAACAAATTCAGAACTAATACGTTCTAAAAATAGAAAAATATATTCTAAAATATTACTCTAAAAAGCAGAGTTATGAAACATAAGAATTAATACTAATAACTACGTATGTAATGATAGTTGACTGTAAGTCTAAAAACAACAATGATAATATGATATTATGTATATTTTTTCCTCCTTTTCCCTTCTTCACTCAGATGCTTCCCAAAAACACAATTGGTCANAACACAAAAGAAACATTTATTAACAATGGTAAAAGATTAGAAAATTAATATAACCAAGACACCTAAACAATTCACTTCCGCTCTATATCAGAGCATTCCCTCCTCTGTCTTTTTACAATATCTACCTTGATGACAGTGCCATCACAACATGGAGGCATGACAGATAATTTTATTTTTAAAAGGTAAGGACAAAATAATTGTGCATTAAATAGAAAATAATTGGTTTACAATAAACTTTCATTGTGATTTTTCTGAAAAAATTCATTTTCCATTTCGAAAAAATTTGACATAACAAGGTTTTGAGAAGAAACTCTTTGACATAGGAATTGAAATTAATATTAGGTAGATATATAATGCGAAGGGAAAAAAACATTTTTTTTTGACATACGAAGGCTTACGAGATATTGAGAGTATGCTGTATTTATAAATATGTTTAATTTATTATTGATGCTGTAACTCTTAAAAAAAAAAAAATTAAATCCAGGATAGGAAAAGAAAAGCATTAATTTTGTGAGAATTTAAATATATAAAAATAGAATTTTAGAAAAAATATCAGAAGTTGGCAGTTATACAATATAGTAATGTCAAGTTTTTTTGCTTGAAAAAAAAATAAAAAATTTAAAAATAAAAAATTATAACTCTCTGAGTCGTTTAAAGTCTCTGTATAATCATACAACAGGAAGCCATAGTGTAGAAGAATAAAGAAGTTAACTTACTAATATTTTCTTGCAATGCAGTAAAATCTTCATTTGAATTCATACTGCCATTTGTATTTTCTAAAGATGGACTCCATGGATCATTTTTCACTGGAAAAAAACAAAACATTTATAATAAAATTAAGAGAGTGCCTAAATGTTTCTCCTTAATTAATTGTTGCAAAAGGAAATTTGATTTTCTAGAAAGCAATGTTAAGTGCTCATAATATAACTCACTCAGTGGCAACAGCACTCACACTGATTTTTCAGAGACACATCTTATTGTTGATGACTCAATAGATAACAAACAATGAAATTCTTGATAATGAACGAACATAGAAAGGTGTCAATAGGGTATAAGCAAGGGTAGCCGTCACAGAATGCAAACGAAAATTACAGCAATGTTTATTAAAATGCTATGGAAAGTGACCTGCTTCAATTAGTAGAGAAACTGTAAAATTTTTTTCTAGTTTTGGAACTAAAAAAAGATCCGCACTCCGAAAACGGCTTTGGACATTTTTAAGCTGTCCAAACAAACATTTTTTCCATTGACAGGGTTGCCACAGAAAAAATGAACAAAATAGTTGCTTTTAATAGCCTAAAACATGAAAATAGTTGAAGAAAACTATGAAAATAGTTGAAGAAAACTATGACAATAGTTGCCTAAATAAGAACCAAAATTTTTCAATAATATGACTAAAATTTTATTAAATGACTTCATTGTCATATACAATGATCCATTCAGTCAAGTTGGAGGCAAATATGATAATTTTCTTATAAACGCTAGTGTTCTAGCACTAAATTTTTAACATAAAAAAATTTGTATATTAACAGAAAACTAAAAACTTTTAATTATAAGAACTCATTCAAAAAAGACTTTTTCATTAAAACGACATACTTTTTCTAAAAAAATTTCCCTTTTACTAATAATTGTTTTAGCAAATATATATATATTTCATGCACCGTAATATCATATTAAAAGTAGGGTTTCTTAAAATCATGCGAAATTTCGTAGCAATAATCGTTGAAAAGGTGATCGAGAAGCGAAACAGGCTTACAATGTAATTTGTGCAAATTGAACAAATTAAAAAGGGATGACTAAAATTTGCAATTTAAAATATTTTTTATTTTTTAAGAAAAAAAACTCAGTGCGCTCAGAAGCTTCCGAGGGACGCAGGTTTTCAACCCAATTTATGATTTTCAAAAAAACATCGCTACGAGTACAGAAAAATTTTCCAATAGTCACCTTTTCCTGAAAATAGTTGCTTTTCAGGCAAAAGTAAGTCCCCTAACGCCAAAAACAGTTGCATTTTAGTCGCCTGTGGCAACCCTGCATTGACAATAAACATCAAAAGTCCCCAGGAGATGATTAATTTTAATACAGTCGAAACATTTTGAATTTTCTATTAATGAAATAAGAGTGACGGGACCACCTATTCTTATCCTAGGTGGCATTATCTATGGTCAAAAAGGTAGAGAAACAACGATTACTTTCATTAATCAAAATTAAAAACGTATATTGTATCCTTGATAGGAAATCAGAGTCTAGTATCCATTTATAAATGTCTTTTTAATAGATGCATAAATGAAAGGCTTCATTAGATTCATCAATTATATATATATTTTTTTGAAGTGATTTAATAGGTGTTTTATTTCAGAGATAAAACACACAGTATTTACTACATATTTTGTGATTTTATTTTTCCTCACACTTTTCGAAGCTCTGGACGTATGCTATTTAGTCATTTTTTTCTTGAAAATACGGTAATTGGATAACTTAAATGCTTAGCTTTAAAATTTTCTTTCAAAAATTAGGATAGATTTTTATTTTTCTGCTTTCCTTTAGTATATAATAGTTGTTTTTTTATGGGCCTTTTATGATAGCACTGCATTTTTAAAAGCGTTTCTGATAGATATCATCTCTTTAAATGTTTCATGGATAATTTTTTTACGGAAAATATTTTTTTTTTAGCATTAAGGCTTTGTTTTAAGAATTAGGAAGATATATTTTTTTTTCCTTTTCTTGCAACTATAAAACTTCTTTCAAAAGCTGTTAGCTTATCTTTTATCTTAAATATTTCTAATTATCTTAATATATAATTATCTTTATTCAGGGTGTGTAGTCAAATCTTTCAACAAAAAATAAACACCTTTTCAGTACTTCTTAAGCACTCAAAAAATATTTTTAAGCACTATATACATTAATAAAAGGCAAAATAATTTTCTAAGACTTACATAATCATAATAAAATAACTAGTTTCTAACAAAGAACTTTTTTCTTGATTATATTAGCTACCATAAAAAGATCGAAAGCTTTTTCGGTTCGATTTGAAAGGGTGGAAAATGAAGCCTGAAATGGAGAATATCTAGCAAAATACAGCAATGCATATGTGAGTACAAGAATCTCTCCGAAACCAACTCAGTAGGCGCACATGTGGGCTCGCAAGTATTTCATCAAAGATGTAAAATGATTCGCATTTTCAGATCAATAGTACACTGAAATGGATTGTGGTTGAATGAATTGTCAAAACGTTGAATAGAACAATCTGAAAAGCACGCGTTTGCATAATACGTGTAGTAAATTGACATGGTACCAAAAAAAATTCTTTTTCGAAAAAGGAAATATTAAACACTTTTTTTAAAAAACCCACTGAAAAAAGCACCTTTGAGGGTTTTTAAAAAAAGAAAAAAAGCACCTTTGAGGGTTTTTAAAAAAAGAAAATAAGCACCTATAAGCACTTTTTAAAAATGCTACGCACCATCCTAAACATTTCTATAAAGGGTTTTTCCCCTTTACCCCATACCAATAATACAGGTAAGTTTTGACTATTTTCTTAACCTTGCTAATCTCTCCTATCTTATTTCTATATAAAAAATAATGTTTATTAATGATTTTTTAAAAAAAATGTTGCTATTCGGCGGATTGTCTCATCAGAATATTCAGTATTTGGCCAAATCACTATTCGTTACATCCCTAACTTTTTATTCTATATATAATTATAAAAAAATAAAATTGCATTGAATATATGCTTGCACCTCAGTTTTTTTTAAATGCAATAATTATTATTTTCAAAGAAAGAACTTTTTTTAAGAAAGAGCCAAACTTCCTAATACAGTCAGTGAATAAAAAAGATATAAAGAATAACTTTTAGAAGAGACTTGTTTCAATGGTTCAAAGAGTTAATCTCAAATATGCTAATTTAGTGCTAACTATAAATTAAATTACAAAATCAGAAACAAGAATGTACTGAAGAAAAATGTCTTTTTTTTCCTGATGTTTTTGGTCATAGATCTAGAGCTAATTGACTATTTCAGTTAATTCTTCCCCCACTTATGAAACTTTCTAATCCAAAGATAGTTTCATAAAAAAAGAACTTTTGAAATTATTTATATTTTTTTAATAATAGCTGAATAAAGGTTTAAATTGTAAACCTTACAAGCTTTTGCTTCATTTAAAACTATGTAATTTCAAATATTAAAATGCAAAATTTGGATAAATCGGTTAAAAAGATTTCGAAAAATTAAAAATATGACTTTTTTTAAAAAATTTTTCACTCTAATTATTAAATTAATTTTGTTCAAAACTTGGATTTTGTAATATATTTTTAAAAAATTATAAAAATGTGTATGAATATTCAAAAATTTTTTCAAATAGTATTAAATGAAATATAAATAATTAAAAAAAAATTTTTTCATCTACCTATGGGTAAACAAGTTTCAAGAATTTAATTGCGCTATTAGTTTTAGATCTATGATCAAAAAGTTTGTTAAACATTTAAGGATTAAAAATTTTGACAGCTCACATGAATAAATTAATTGGACTACATTTCGCAAACTGCGGCTCATGTTTACAGCTGTATCCGATACCGATTCCTGTTACCTAATTGTAAGCTCTATGGAATCAAATTGTGATATCAATTTGATTGCAACTTTTAGTAACGTTTCTGCAACCGTAGAAAGATGTATAAATCACATTTTTGTTACATAACTGTGATACAGCAGAGAACCAATTATACGGGATGCTCGGGACCATCGCTATCCCTGATGTCTGAATTTCCCGGTTTTCTGGATCGACCAAAAAGTGTCGTTAATCGATGTTTTATCGAACCCGAATTACAAGGAAAAAGTGTAATGCATAAAGTAAGAGAAAAAAAAAGGTACTCCTATAAGTTTAAAAAGAAAAAAAAATGGTAGAAAAATAAGTTTAAAAAATACAAAATTCTCGTATTTATTTTTTAAAAATAATTACAATTCCTAAATAAACTATTATAAACAAAACCAATGGTTAAATAACGCAATATATTTCATACCTAATTATACGGGGGAAACGATAAAATAAAAGGAAAACTTATTAATCTAAATAAAAACTCTTGAAAATTATCAAACCGAAACGATAGTTGAAAAAGGCATTAGCATAAATATTAAAGCCCGGAACAAGGCAAGATCAAGGGAATTTAAAAAAAAAAACCTAATGATAAAATTTATGAATAAAAAGAATTAATTTATTGAGTGAGAAATTTATCACGAAAAGAAAAAATAAATCAAACATAGTAGAATCAGAAAAACAAAACTGCAATCTGCTTCATAAAATAATCTTATGTTTAAATTAATAAACAATTCTCCTTTTATTATTTTTTTTTGTTGATAAAAACACGATATTTAATTACAGCAGATGTGATTCCACATCAATAAAAACTTGCAAATGATACCGCACTTCCAAAGAATGAGAATTTATTCAGAAGAAAAAGATTTTATTTTTATTAATCGATGTCAAATAGATAAATATATTTTTCTCTTTCATCTTCGGTTCACTGATATGCATGCAATGCATTCCCCCCCCCTTGTGTATCAAGCAGAAAACAAAATCAGCAAGCTACACCCTTGAGCTTGATTGACAGCCTAAAGGAGAAAATAAAACATTCCTCCCTTCCCTGCCTTCAAGGTCACTGAGGAAATGACGTTTCTCTGGGTAAATGGGGGAAAAAATTCTCCCCTTCCTTACATTTTCCTCTACTCAACTTCAAGGATGAGTTCAATTTCAGCTTTTTTCTCATAATCGTTCTAGTTTAAAATGACGGGAAAACCGATCAAAATTTTTCCCGGTTATCTGGATACCGGATAAATGGTTCTCTACTGTATTTGGTGCTGTACGAGTTTAACACCTATTACAGGGTTCCCACTCAATTTTAGAAAGAAAAAAAATCCTTGATTTTTCCAGGTAAATGTCAATGAAAATCCATACCATATCTATACCATGCAATTTTTCATCAGAAAACTTTGATGTTTTATCTGTAATGTCAAATTTTAGATTTTGTGAGCAAAAACATATAATAGAATGAGAAAAGAAACATGGAAAAGTTTCTCTAAAAAGTGGAATTATATAAAATAATTATAATAGATGTTAGAATTACTTAAATTGAATCTCAATAACTGATTACTGTTACTGATAATTCTAATGGTTATTTTATAGGTATGATATAGGGATTTTCAAGGTCTTTTGTAAAAAATTGCAACTTTCCCTGCTTTTTTGAGTTAAAATAAAATTCTCTGACAATTCCAGGTTTTCCCTGACCTGCATTGCAAGCTGTGCATTATCCGGAAAAATCTATTTTTCGGACTTACAGAAGTCTCTGTGATCCTGGATACAGGATTTTCTACTAACTATCTATCTATATATACATAGTATGGAAATGGTCAAACCAAACCTTAACCCTCTAGCTCCTGGGGTCAAAGCAGGGATATATTCATTTGACACCTTAACTGAGTCATCTCTTTAACTACAGTTAAATTAACAATTATTGCAAAATCTCTAATAAAAAAGAATCAAATTATAGATAGTAGGGCACAGCTTTATCAAAAATTACAGAATAATTTAAATTATTAACTATTACATTGTAATACCTGACTATTAGCTAAAAATTTAAAGTTTGGCCAATGATACTTTCATAAAAAGTTTAAATATACTTTAATGTCATCATGATTTAAGTCAGTAAAGAAATTACTACTAAATCGGAAGTCATTATGGAGAAGTCTTCAGAGGAAGGCATTGGCCCAAAATGGACTGGCCAACTATGATGATGATGAAAGAAATTACTGCTAAACAACAAACATATAATTTAAAAAACAAGTAAAATGATTAATTAGTTACCAATATTGTGATTTTTCTCAGGTAATGAATCTGGAGAATCCCAAACGTTGAGATCAGCTGTATTCTACAAAAAAAAAGTAAAATTAAAAGAAAAACTAAATAGAATTGCAAAAAATAGTTCTAAAGAGTAACACTCTATTTATATAAATAATTTAAAAAACACTAGGACAAAAAAAAAAAGGGTAAAATATAATATTTTCGTAGAAAAAATGATAAATAAAATATAACTTTTTGTAATTGGTGCAATCCTACTTCAAATAACCAATATTTTCAAATTATTTTAGATTCATCATTCTAGAAACTCGCTTTTATCAAAACTCTCAAAATAATTTTGTGTAATAAAAGATGTGTTATTTTTTAGCAGAAGTAATGACTAATAATAGTCAAACTAATAAACAAATGTAAAAAAAAATCATTTTTCAACACTTTTTTTTACAAATTCTGTCTTTTTCTAAACTTTAAGCAGCAGCAAGGAAATTTCAGAATAATGTCTAGGGACTCAATGCTTGGAGGCTCTTTCTAATAAAATGTAATCATTTCGCAAAAAAAAAAAAAAAAAAAAANAAAAAAAAAAAAAAAAATTGTTTTATGCTTTTATTTTGTTTTAAAAATAATCTGAGAAACAGTAAATTGTGTCTTATATGTTCTTTAATAGATAATTCATGAATCTATATGCATTGTAATTTGGTCAACAAAAAAGTACTGTATATTTCCAAATATAAGCCTATCTGTGTATAAGACGAAGAGAGCACTTTTTATTTTGAAATTTACTAAAATTTCAAAACAAGTATATAAACAGACGTAAAAAAAACAAGGCATGCTATGAAAGGAAATAATGTACCCCCCTTCCTGTAGTACCAGTAACATAATGGGTAAAAAAGGATGGAATACTTAATTTTAAAAAAAAATAATAACAGTATTCCTTCCTTTCAGGCATTAAGTATTTTTTCTTGTCAGTACTTTTTGCAATATTTATTGATTATTGCTAATAGCTGGCAAAGGGAAAAGTATTTTAGTTGGAGATGTCTGCCTGGAATTTTTCAAAGTGAGTGGATGCAAATATATGGGATGGGAAAAAACTCATACCCATTCTTGCTTAGAGTCCCAAAATTGGAAAAAATAAATTTTTATAAAATAAATAGTGCACTCTCGATAACAAGTTAAGAACTGAATATGTTCTAAAGAGTAGAAAAATATATCCTAAATAGCAGAGTCCTGAAACATAAGAATGACTACTAATAAATAAGCATGAAGAGATAGTTGACTATAAGTCTAAATACAACAATTATAATTTTATTTTTAAAAGGTAAGGACAAAAATGATTGTGCATAAAAATAGAAAATAATTGGCTTATAATGAACTTACATTGTGATTTTAGTGAAAAAATTTATTTTCTCTTTGGAACAAAATTCAACAGGCAAGGCTTTAAAAAGAAACTCTTCAATATAGAAATTCAAATTAACATTAGGTGGATACATAATGCGAAATGGAAAAATATTTTTTTGAAATAGCAAGGTTTTCGAGCTACTGAAGTTTTAGATATCGAGAGTATACTGTAATTAGTTTTTAAGTTCTTAAAAAAAAATATTTTTTACGTTCATTTGACACCATTTACTATAATTGGGGCTGCAGGTTTGTCGCTGCGCGAATTTCCGCGAAATTGTCATCCTTTTTCCTAAAATCCGCGAATTTCTCAATATGTCTTGACTTGCGCGAAAATTGCTTAAAATGTGATTTTTTTTTATTTATTATTTTTATTAAACAGAATTTTTTATTTTCCTGAACCTTAAATTGAACACGTAAAATTGATTAGATATTTAGGGGAGTGAATCAATAGCAAAATGACATGAAAATAATTCAGAGATAAGAGACAATCACAATCTTGACAACTAAGGTGGTCTTTCTACACTTAGGGAGGGTAATTACCTTCCTGAAGTCAGTAAGAGAACAAAAGAAATTGGAATCACAAAAGAAGGAAAATGTTATAAATCAAATCTTTGGCAGAAAAATTGTTATACATGCTATTGCACTGGGCAATGAAATTTCTACTGCCTTTCTACATATCCAGTTAACTTTTCCTAGGCGGCTTCTTGTGATTTCTTAAACATGGATCAGTTTCTTAGATGAAGGGGGGGACTAGTAGTTAGTAAGGTTGTTAGTACTTGTAACTAGTAGTTTGAATGTAGAATGTTTGAGCTTTCACAGCAATTACTTCTTACAAAGCAACGGTCAAGGAATTGCGCGTTGGTGAAGGAAAATTGATTGAGTTTTGGAAATCAAATACCGAATGCTCCAAAATTGGCAGAAGTGGCAATTCGAAGTTTGTCGGTGCCTAAAAACAGCGCTGACGCAGAAAGATAGTTTTCTAAGTATAAAAATGTATTAAGTTATGAAAGACGAAAGATAAATGAGAAAAATCTGACATTGTACAATACTTTGCACCAAAATTCTGTTCATTTAAATGAAAATATTAATATTGCTTGAAATTCAAAGAAATACTTTTGTTGTGTATTTTCAAGCTTTCTTTATTATTTGCGCAATTTCCGTCTTTTGCACCATTTGTATAATAAATTTTTTTATGTTTAGAATTTGTGTAATTTTCAAAATTTCCCGCGAATTTGGGGTCTTTTTTCCCGCGACAAACTTGCAGCCATAACTATACAATAGAATAAGTTGGAGAAAAAAATCAGGCATGAATGGGTTAAAGAACTCCTTACTTTAGAGGTGGTAATGGGCAATCCCCAAGGATCGAGCAATGGCGTGGGTGAGTTGCTGTTAGGATTCGTGTTCAAGTTGAGCCCCAACAAGTCCTCCATGGCAGACGAAGACTGTTGCAGCTGCGATTGCTTCTCGTTCGGAGTATCCACTTTCTTCTTAAATTCCTCTTCACTCTCAGAGAGAGCCATCTGGAGCCTGAGGTCATCATTCCTCTTGATGCGCTCTGCCTGATCCGCCTCCTCTTTGCTCATCGCCAAAGCCAACTGCAGCTGCAATTCCTCTTCCCCTGCCGTCTGTGGACGAGCGTGTTCGAGCTCAGACAAGGAAAGAGCTGCAACAAAGCTCATTAACAACAGCAATGCAACAAGTTACTCAATTTAATCTTAAGAGCAAAAATGTAGAGTTAAATGACACAAGAACATTTGAATAAAATTTTTTTAAATAAATTAAAAAATTTTTAGAATGTATATTTTATATTATAGAATTGAATTAGTACAGAATTAACATTGAATATTTTATAAATTATGTTGATAGATTTAATGATGAAAAAGAAATATGTAGCCTCCAGGTTTTAAATTAAAATCAGTCTTTAAAATTTTCGGAGCCTTAAAATTTTGACACAGACCACCATGAATAATTAACAGCAGTCATTCAGATTAGCAATTGTATAGGTATAGTATGCAATCTTCTTTTTTTATTTTTGGTTCTGTGTTTTGGTAAGTGATTTCTGTCAAAAAATAGCATATTCTATCATAACTGTGAATATTACTTATTCTCTTACTGTAATTTTTCATTTAAATTCACTTTATTAACCTTTTCCTTAAAAAATCTATTAAAGATATGTGAACAAATCAGTAAAAATACATACAGACTAGCAATGTCTTTTAGTTACTGTTCCTTCAGACCAATGACTGTATTTTCTTAATTTTTATCCCAGGTTTCAAAGTGTGTCATTAAATTTAATACTTTTGTTACTACATTAATATTAAGGTATAGAAAATATCTTGAACAAAATGAACCTGCAGAAAAAAAGATCTGTGTAATTTCTTTCAAGTGTAGTTAGCTTTTTTTAAAAAAGCTTCCAGTAGAATAGATATTAAGAGAATAATGTGGAAATTAGAAGGTCGGTCATTAATAATTATTCCTCAAAATATGCGAGAGTTGCTATAAAGTTATTATAAATATTATAATAATACATTATTTGGTACTTACAGTAGACAACAAAATGTTAATTGAAAAATGTCATTATGATCACCAGACTTAGATAAAATGAAAATCTTTCTGCAATCAATTTGACTCTTGTAACTAATTTTTTAAGTTTTTGCTGCCACCTAATTTTGACAAAAATTGTTGAAATTACTGATTTTTTTAAAAGTGTTTTAACTTTTATATTGATTATTACACATACCAGATTATTTATTTTTTGAATATAGCAGTTTTTTGAACATATGAAACTAGTAATTAACTTTCCTTGTTTAACCTTATACTTTACTTTCTTTGTACACTTAAAATCCAAGTCATTCAGAAACATTTTAATGCAAATATTTAAAAAATATTTTAATAATTAATATTTTAACTGCTAAAGCAACTGTGGAAGTAAATTCATTTTAATCAGTTGTTATATTGAGGTTCTATGACAAACTATTTTTTGTGGGAGATTCTTACCTCCAGGAGAGAGCATGTCCTCGTCGTAAGAACCTTGACTGAAGTCAGATGACCCAAATTGCTGAAAATCATTGTTTGAAATAAATAAACTACTTAGAAAAATATCAAAAACAAGAGATAAGCATTTAAAATTCAATGAGTTTGCGGGCAAGGTTCATCAAAGAACACTTTCAAACGACACACAAGAAAACATCTTTCATTGAAGATCGCACACTAAAAAAAATCTAGATCAACAGGGTACATACTCAATTTGAGAGTAAAAAATCCTTCAGTTTTTTCTGATTAGAACAATTCTAAAAAAGTATTACACCCAGCTAGCTATGCAACAAATTTTTTAAAAAAGAAGAAAAAAGCATGAAAATAATATTGGCAGTAAATGATAAAAGCATGAAAACTTAAAATTGTATGCATCCAAATTAATACAATAATATGATTCAACCACAAATTAATATACAGTCGTTCCCACTTAATTGCACATCGGATAATCGAATAACCCGCTTATATGAATAAAAATTAATGGAACCAAATCATTTGATATTAAACCTCCCCTTTTAAATGGGTATTTGTTGCTTTTTGTCCCCGCATAAGTGCATAAAGGAGATGTACTGAAATGAAGAAAAAAAAATTATTTTTGAGAAATGTCTCACCAGCTAGAATGGAATTTCCATTTTTCAGTTAAGATAAGGATACAATAGGTGGTCACTTCAATAGGGACTTCATTAGTTGGTCTAAACAGGTGTTAGTTAAATTGAAAAACTAATGCTGCCAGTTATACATTGAAGTAAACAAATGGTTTTTCACCCCTTTTTGATTTACTTCATACACATATCATTTAGGATGCAAAAATGGTACCAAGTGATTTGTTTTGTGGTCAAGACTTGTGGTCCCCTTCTGGTGCGCTATTAAATTTGATGAGAAAAAGTTTTACAAACCTAACACACTAGTGTACAATGTATCTTTCTCTTAAGTATAATAATTATTGCTTAATCCACTGAATAACTCTGAGTGGGTTGCAAAGTTGAGAGCGAAAAGGATTGATTTGAATTAATCGGGAGAAAAAAACAATGAATCTTGGAAACAATAAGTTTTAAAAACTCCCAAACTAAAATAGCGCATTAATTTGGAATTTCTTGAGTTTCGAGGATTGGAAAAAAATAAATAAGTAAAATAAAAAAATCTGAATGCATTAGAAAGGAATTTTTCAAGTCATGAAAGTCTTAGTAAAAATTGAAAGGAAAAATCTAATTTTGATGAATTGACGAATTAAACGGGTATAAAAACAGTCTTCAATGACAGATTTTTTCGGAAAGGATCAAATTATATTTCAGTATTTACATCAAACTTTTCACTGACATTGATTTATTTTTATATAACTTTAAATGACATTTGTATTTTATGATACTAACAGACAGTTTAAATTATAATAGCTTATTGATCATAAAACTGAGTTTATTTAATAAAAACATTATACTATGCATTAAATACCATTAATATGTAAAATTTTGCAAAAATTTAGAATTTGAGATTGAATATTGCACTCTCCTTCCGCTTTATTCCATACATTTGGCTGGAACCGATGGTATTGCTTTAGACGGACCAAAGACTGTACCAAAAATACTCAAGATTCCCTAATTTGCCACCAAAGAAAACCTTGAAAAAAAATTAACATTTACCTTTTCAAAAATGAAATAAAAATCTATACTTTTTTCCTCAGTATTTTATTAAAATCAATTTGATACCACCTGAGCCTTCCTAGAGGCATAAAATTGTGATAAAAAAAGGCTGTTCCATCTTTTTTTCTTCTTTTTTTTTTAATTGTTAAGATAACTGTTTAATATCAGGTCACTTATGCTCAAGCAATTACTTATTCAGCTTGCTGAACAAATTAATTTTTTTTAAAAATTTATAATGAAAATAATTTATAAGGAACTCAAAGAGTAAATTTAAAAATTTTAATTAACAGTAGTAAAATTGTGAAAATAGATTCACATTTCTGAGGGAAAAAATATTTTGTTAAATGTAGAGTTTACCATTTAGGGTGTAGAGTGCATGAAAAAAATCTGACTGCCCTGAATAACTTTTGATCTACTGATCAGATTTTCGAGTTCTAGGACTCAATAGCAAATATGTTAATTAATTAAGTAGAGGATATTTTAAATTACAAAATCAGGTAAAAAAACGCACTTTTCCTGAATGAATAGTACCTCTCCATCCCCCTGAGGGATTTGGATTCCTGACACTCAAAATTGAGGGGTATATGTAATCTGGGAAATAAGGATCCAATAGTTTGTTCAGGAGAGCAGTTAAAAGTTAGGCCTCCTCAATGCTAATTTTATTTTTTGCATATTTTGAAATACTTTGCAAACAGATACATAATTCGTTTATTTAAAGATAAGTCCAGGCAAAAAATAATATTTGTTAATTTTATAAATTATTTTTTTTAATAGTCATTAAAAAATAATTTTAAATTACACATTCTAAAATGATGTAAAAATCTTTCGTTTCTGTGCTAAAAGTGTTAATTTTTCTAAGCAAGTTTCACTTTATGTAACTTTAAATAGCCAAATGTAACCTTAAATGGTTTTAGCATGAGTTGGTCAAATAGTTTGAGTTATCCAATTTTAAAAAAAGTAGTATATTTAAAATTTAATTTCTCAAAAACTAATAAATCTATTTCATCCAAATTTCGGTAATTAGTCAGATAAAATTACGTTCCATAAAGAGATGAAAAATTTTTTATATCTTACAATTCAAAAATTTTATACTATTATTAAAAAAATTAATAAATAGTTTTTAAAAATTAATTTTACATGCAAAATTCTCAAGATATTGCAAACTAAACAAAAAGTAAAATTATCATGGAGGGGTTTAAAATTTAGACCACTTTCCCGAACAAACCATTGGGACCACATTTTCCAGATTGTGGCTACCCCAATATTTTGAGGGCAAGGAATTTGTAATCCTTACCCCAAATAAATAGACATCCATTAAAAAAAAAAAAAGCATGATTATTCAGAGAAAGTACATTTTTATGACTGATTTCAAAACTAAAAATATTATCTGTACTAATTAATTTAAGGTCCTGAATATTAAGAAATCCTGAATATATCCTCCTGAACTATTAAGATTGAGTCCTAGTACGTGAAAATCTGCTCATTCAATCAAAAGTTATTCAGGCTGCTTTTTATTTTGTGCACTCAGAATTTATTTTAATAATATAACATTTTCTCAAATTTTACATTCAAAACAAACATAAATCAGGTGCTCATTTAAAAAAAAAAAGATACAAATAATGTATAAACAGAAAAAAAAAAGAAATTATTTTTTAAAGGACATGTTTTTAAAACCTATCATATTTTAATTTTATTGAAAAAAAATCTCAAGCAGAATTTTTTCTTCTTCTTCTTACTTTGAAGACATTGTAAAATTTGCAACAATATGCGGTACTGAGCATTTCAATTGTAACGCATGCATGGTGAAGTCTGTTATTTGGATTCACTTATTGTCTCGCAAAAGATAACAAAAAGTTAGCGTTATTTTTACAGGGTTTAAAGTTTTTTTAATGGTAGCAAAATTTAAGTTTCAATGTTCACACCACTAGATGTAAATGATTTGAAAGTTCATATGAAACACTACTTTGTTCCAGCCCTCTGGTTAGGCTCTTAAAATGTTGCCGAATTTAACAAAAATTGTGGAAAGCTTTAGTTTCAAATTGTTTACCACTCTGTAAAATATTTTTCAAAGAGTAGTTGTTTTGTGTACTAGATGACAGAACTGTTTTTATAACACTGATCAATAATTAAGTTATTACAGTAGAGTCCTGACTATCCGTCTTAATGTGGACCATGTCTAACTCGAAGAGTATGAAAAAGGAAAGAGTAGGTATAAATGTAATATGCTTAACAAATACAAAATTTATATGAGTGCACCACATGCAATTCATATTATAATTAAAAACTCTTTACGAGAATGAAAGAGTTTTTACTTCAATAAGCCCTTAATTGTTTTTTGTTTGACATTACTTTGGCACTTTTCTTTCAGCTACACTTCACCATTTTTAGGGATCACAGGAAGGCTGTTGTCGCCTCTTCTCGTCCTTCTATTAATTCAATAGCACTTCCGGTGAGTTTTAGTCCATCTGTATGAGAGATTTTTATAAGTTGATTTTCCTTGTCACTGTCTACAGCATCTTGGCTAGATTAATTTTCATTATTGACGATATTAACGATCATCGGATCAAGTTGTTGGATTTCGTCTTCCTGAGTGTTTGGAAGATAAAATTTAGATTTTTTTCCCCGGCAGTAGTTTTAAAAATAAAATAATAAACTAGAATAAAAAACTCCTTGAAATATTTTGATAGCTTGGTTAAAACGGAAAGTCGGATAATCGGGGCTCTACTGCATTTATTATCAAAAAACACTGCATCTCTCAAAAGCATTTTGAAAAAAAAAAAAAATTGTAGAGGAAAGTAAGAAGAGACCTTTGGAACAGTGGTGTCTTGTTGTTTGACATACGAAGTAGACCGCGCAAATCTTTCCCGAGCTTTGAGAGCTCTAGCCCTTTCATTCTTCAGTCTCTCCTCATCTTTCAGGAGGGCAACCAGCTGTTTTGCTTTTTCACGAACATTGATGCCCTGGTCTTTACTCTCCTCAAAGTACTGGAAATCTTTTAGGGTCTGAATCGCAAAGATATTCTCCTTACACTGTTGGGTCACCTGAAAAATACATTACAAAACAGTTTTTAAATGTTTATTATTTGTCCCCAATGCAAACAAAATTATATGCGTTAAAGTGCTCCATTTTTTTGTGATTTGGCTTGGATGTGATAGCATAGCAAATATGAAGAAAAAAAAATGGAGACTATTTTTTAACGCAAAAAATAAAAACATGGCACACCAGCAGATTTATGTTACTGAAATTAAACTGAACTATAAAAAAAAATACTAATAAAATTCTTTGTTTGGTCTAACTATCAATAGATATAGAACCTAAAAAATGTGCACATTGATAGAAAAATTATAGGGTAGAAAATTTTACAAACATTTTGATTTTAATTTTGGAGTATCAATTAAATGCAATTTTTTTCAAAAATAAAATTTTGTACTTTCTAAAGATTTAGAATGTTTTAACAAAGTTATTAGTTTATTTTTAAATTCTTTTACATTCAAGTAACATACATATTATTCAGTTTTCAATAATACTGTTCTATCCTACCATTAAAGAAGTGTTATTCTAAAAGAATAAAGTGTGTTTCATTATCATTGGAAAAGATCTACCTGATTTTGATCTTTTAAGGCAATTAATGTAGAAATTCTGAAGAAATCTTTCCAATCATATTAATTTAAATTTTATAAACTATATCTTTAAATAGGAGATATGTATTTTTTAAAATAGGGACCCTCTTTTAGATACAAAAATCTGGAAGTCCTGGGCCGTAAGCTTCTAAAGTTTATAAGAATCATTGACTTTGGATTCTCACCAAGGACGAATCCCAAATAGCCAATTTCTGTATCTCTATTACAACATTAAAAGTAAAATAAAACCTAACACAAATATCAAACCAGGGTTGATATATTCAATAACAATAACTAAATTCAATAAATTTTATTCCTCATTAAATATAATCAATATTTTCGTTTTTAATCTTTGGTACTTTTTATCAGCAACATCCAGCATCTCAATAATTTCATGAAAATCAGAAGTGTTTAATTAGTATTTAATAGTATTTCTAAGTAAATAATTTCAAGCCCAGTCAAATAAAGGTAAAAAATGTTTTTGAAAATTTCATTTTCAAGCTAGCTATTAACTTTAGTCTTTAACAGATAGGAAATTTTAAATTCATCTGAAAGATCCATCTGATGGGAGATTCGATGTCATACAAACACCTCTGACATCAGAGTCTTAAGATGAATAAAATGAGGCACACTTTTTTCTTTTTCAGAGTGTAGCAGATAGGATGCTGGTTATGTAAGAGATTTGCTGACCTTTGAAACGCAGGCTTCGTAATAGGCAAAAAAAAGGGACATTTTTTAAAAAATTCGTATTATTATTTTTTTTTGAGTATTATACATATACCATATACATATTTCCTTAATCAAATTAATTTCCTTTAGCACTATACATATTTCCTTAATCGAATAATTTTTAATTAAGGTTTTTAATAATCTCCAAATGAAAACACAGTGAATATGCAACTTAACACCTCCGTACACAGAAGTAGTTTTAGTAGAGATGATCTCTCAATTCAACCATTTAAAATGTCTATAATATGATTACTGTAATCAATAATTTTAAAAGTCATGTGAAAGTGACACATCAATAATTGTGTGACTATAAAAGTTCATCATAAAATATCAAAAATATAGAAAATTGGATGTTTTGAACATAAACTAAAATCAGGAATATCAGGACAGATACAAGCCCTGGAAATGAGTCGTGTAAATCACAAGTTGTAAATGTGTTAGCCTTATAGTACTGACTTTAGACAGCATTGTATATTTTAAAAAAATGAGGCTTCAAATCAGTTTCCTTTTGTTTTGAAGCTAAAATCTGTTATGTGGTTTTAAACCTACAATCTAGTCGGAGTTGTAACATGTTGGGCAATATAATTTTCAAGCTCTGTTTGAAACCAAATTGATGATTTAAAAAAATTAAACAGATTTTCCTCAAAATTTATATAAAAAAAAGAGCATGGGCTATTGCAAATAATGCCTGTTTTCCTGTCCAAAAACCTATTTACTCAAGCTATGTCACAATTTCAAAAAAAATTTATTGTGATAAATAAAATTTTAATTTTTGAACAAGAAACAAGATGAAGACAAGTTTCTGCTTTATTAAAAAAAGTTTAATCTTATTTTTTATATTGGATTATTTATCCTTACGCAAAAACATAAGTTATCAGTATTAAAAGCATATTTATTTATATTTAAAGGTATTCATTTTTCTTGTTCAATGAATTGTGGAGCTTCAAAATTTCTCTTTTCCTATTAAACAAATATTTATTAAAATATGTATTTATTATTTGGTGTTCAATTGTTACACATATAGAATTTTTACCTTTTACCAATGTTCAAGGTTTTGGACACTTAAAGACAGTAAAAACCCATGTGTCCTGTCCAAAACCCCAACACTGATGCTGATACATTCTTAAAAAAAAAGTTATTGTGCTTTTACATTTTAATAACTATTTCCTTTTTTTTTAAGGAAAAAAAAAGGTAAAGAACAGACAAAATTTTTTGATTATTAGTTCTGAAATGCTTAAAAAGCATTAAGAAAAATATCAAGTAATATAAATAGAATATTTAATAGCAAAGGGGAAAAAGGAAAGAAAAAAAGCCACTTAGATGTTTACATATCACAATGAATAAATTGATAAAATAATCATTTTAATGAGATAAAGCACAAAACAAAAAGTTTAATAAATGTGAATGAGTAAAAGATAAGATAAAAATATCAAAGATGTCAGATTTTAAAATTAATTTTTATTTATAGATGTTTCCTCAGCTTCTTTTTTAAGATTTTAATAGTTTAGCTTTCTATTTACAAGAGTTAATTTTTTTTTTAATGATTCCAATGTAAGAATAAATCTTTTAGTAATTTAAGAAAATGATTTCGATTGTTTAAACATTTTACAATTATTGGGGGAAAAAATTAATCAAAATTTAACACTATTAAAAATGCTCACTGTATTAACTTGTAAATGCTACATTTATAATAAAGGTTGCATTTTCTTAAGTTTCAGACATTCAGAATAAATTTTTTTATTCAACATTTTGTTCAAATTTTATAAAGGTAAAGACAGTCGGAATAAAATCTTTGGTTTGACATTCCGTTTAGATTTGGGTTTAATGCTTTGAAAAAATTTTCAGATAATACCAAATTTCATCTTCATTTCTAAAAAGTCAAACTTGCTATAAAATAATAATAATAATAATGAACTCTGCAGTTGGCTAGAGCTTTAAAATACTTTTTAAAAAAAGAAGAAGAAAAAGGTTTAACTATACCTGTGGTTTGTTCACTCAACAAAATCAATTAAACTTACTAATACTCACAAAATTAGAAAGATGATAACACACATTGTTTAACAAAATGCAATCATATGTTACCTTTTCCGAACCTGTCTTGATCAGGTATTCCAGCAGAACGAGTGCCTTGTAAACATGTTTCCAGTTCTTCCCATGATCATTCAATCGCTTCCAAATGACCTGCATTATTTCTGAAAATGCCACAACATTGTAGGTGAGGTCGGCAATTTCACTCATCAGAGTGCCAGACGGTCCCCAAGGGTCATTAGAAGTTGCTTCACGCACTTTTACTTGAGCGTCTGAATAATTCTTTACTACATTCTTAACATTTCTACGTAAGCCATGGACGTTAATCATTTTAGATGTTCTTTAAATCTATCAACAGGGAGAAACATTAACTACCATTGCAAATGCTAATAGGGGGGTAAAAAAAACATATTGAAATACCAAACTTTATTTTTTTTTTAAAAAAAGTATGCTTTAAGGTCATTATATACTCTCAGTTAATTATTTTGGAGACTTTTAAATATAACAACAAAAAAGAAACTCAGACAACATTAATTATTACATATGTTTTTTAATATTAGTTCAGTACGTTCTTGCAACTCTCTGTAATGAAATTTACGGTGGAACGTTAAGATATGAATATTCAAATCAGAGCTAATTTCCATGTCATAATATTATATTAAAAATAACATGGTTTTATTGGCTTGATTTAAATTTACTTCAGTCTATTAGAAATTTTTTTTGTTGGGTAAAGTTTTGTAAAGTGATAAATTTTTTTTACAAAAAAAAATTTTGCAGCAATTTTTTTTTTTTTTTAATTGGTTCAAAAATTTATCTAGGGCTGCCAGAATATCACTTGAATCTCGTTCCCACAATCGGACATACACTGCACCTTTCGTCATCTCATTTGCAGAATTTTGATGGACTTCCCTAGTTTTGGTTCTCTGAATTTATTGTACAACTTCAACTGCATCTAATTCTCCACACATAATTCTTATTTACTGCACTGCACCAAATATACACTACAAACCAAGTATACTAAGTTACTACACATTTGTTTCAAGAAAAAATAATAAGTTGTTAAAAAACTTTGCCTTATAGAATAAGCAACAATAATCTAACATTTGCTTTATAATCCAATTCTAATGTTTGCTAATATACGACACTTTTAATTTTATGTAAAGAAAAATGACTTACTGAGTCTAGTAAAAGAAAGATTTTGAAAAAAAGTTGCCAAAGCAATTATATTCCCGTCAACTGCAAAAGAGCCGTCAAGCTATTTAAAATAAAAATAAATACATTAAAAAATGAATGCATAAAGTGATAAATTGACTATTATTCCACATCTATTTTTAGTTACATAAAATTTTAAAACATAATATTATTATATGAATTACTTTCGAAAGTAGCGCGTTGTATATAGCAGAGGGGGCATGTAAATTATGGTCCCAAGTATTACACTAAAAGTTGTATAGAATCAATAACATACATTACAATAAATTAAAGCAATTCCACAAAAAAAAAGGTTTAGCTCTTTTAGAATTAATTTTGAGAGTTTATTTTGGAAACTTTACAAAAGCATGAAATCAAACATCTTACTAAAAAAAAAGGACTAAAAGAATTTAAAAAAAAAAAAAAAAAACTAACTTAAATGAGTAAGTAAAATATAATGAAGATAATAAAAATTTAACAATTAAATTTTCGATGTCAATACAACTTGCCATTCAATGAGATTCAGATATAACAATCCAAATGGAATGCTTTGCAAATGTTGAATTAAAATGGTTGAGTGAGCAAATTTTTCCATTTCTCTTAGATTTAATGAAAGGGAATAATTTTGGAAACATGGAATAGCATCAAAAATAATGTATTTAATCAATAAATAAAAATTATTAAAGGTATGTTGGTTTAGTACATAATTAATGCAAAATATATTATTTAAAGAGTTGAATCATTTTTCAAAGTATTAACAACAAGGGATGTAACGAATATTCGGCGCATCCTGCCATTTTGCCAAATATTTGGCCCAATGTTCAGCTAAGTATTATTTAGAAAAGTATTTTTAGACAAAATATGTTTGTGGGGCAAAAAGAAAGTTTTTTTTCTGCCTCTTTTTTATCATTTATATTTATCGTTCTTTTATCTCGTTCTATTATCTTATCGTTCTATTATCTTTTTATTTTATCATTTATATTTATCGTTCAAAAGTGTTTCTAAAAGACACTAGGTATCTCTTTTAATGTTTTGTGAGTAATTTTTTTTTTAAAAAAATATAATTTTTAGCATTAAAGTTTTGTTTTAAGATATTGTATCAGATTATTATATTATATGTATAATAATCTAATAAAAAATTTTAATATATTATATATTTTTAGACATTTTATACATTTTTTTAGATTTCTCTTTTTATTCCAATTAACAACTTTGGTTTTTTTAATAGTTTACTCAGTTTATTTATCTTAAATATTTATAATTATCTTAATATCTCATTATCTTTACCATCTATAACATTTTTATTAAAGTTTTCATCAATTATAATTTATCCAATTTATATATAATACTATTATAATTTATTTAATTTTTTTTGTATTGTACAATTGTATATAATACAGCTAAGTTTTGATTATTTTTCAATAATGATTTTATTTTAAATTATAACCGCCGTTGAACAGCCGACCCAATTTAAGGTTTACGACTACCAATGTTCAACTCTATAGCTTTGTAATTTTGAACCCAATCAAAAAAGACAAAAGTACTTCTGGATCAATAATTGGGAGAAATTTGCCGAGGAGTTTTTGATTGAACTAATCGGCATTTACATGGAGAGGAAAGTCACGAAAACCCCGAATGGTTACTCTGATGGTAAGAGGACTCCAACCCATGATTCCGTCTGTAACTGAGCCAGTACTGTCGCCGATGCGAGACAAATGAAGAATTCGTATCGAACAGCCATGGCTGTGATTCGAACTCGGTTCACCTCATGGGAAGGTGAACGCTCTATTCCCTGAGCCACCACAGCTTTCAATAATGATTTTTTAACAGTCATTAAATAGTTTTCCTTGAGTTGATTTAACCTCTAAAAAAGACCAACCCTCATCAACAAGCATTTTACAATGGAATGGAAAGTGGTCAATCCCAGAGGTTTCACTGTATTTTAATATTATTAATGTTCGATTTCATTTGTGTTCACTTAAAACAAGCATTCATACAAAAACTCATTCTCAAACTAGAAAGGTGCATCAACAATTAACAAATTGTTAAAATAATTTGCAAAATTTTTTTTTATGCTCAGTTTATCTAGGCAAATTTTTTAATTTTGTGATGATAAATAAAAGAGGTACTTTCTGGTCAGCAGCCAAAAGCAATTAAAATTCAGCTAATATTTTTTACTTTTCTTTAAAAAATTTTTTATAAAAATCTATTTTGTTTATTATTTAAAAAAATTTATTAATTAAAGTTGGAAGAGGTCTATATTTTTTGGTAACTTCCCACTTACGCCAGTCTAATTGAAAAGTACCATAAAACCTATTCCTCGCCTTAATATCTTCAAAATATAATAATTTTCAATTTTAAAATTAAAACTATCAGCTTTTAAGTTTAAAGTATAAATGCTTAACTTATTTAACTAAAGTTAATTGAGCTAATAATAAATATAAGGAATAAATTACAATGAAAGATATACTTTTATTGTGTTTATGCATTCAAAATAAGTAGGTATATATTTAATCATAACAAAATTTTTCCTTTAAATAAATACAATAGAAACATAGGTACATGTAATTCAAGTTTTTCCCAAAATAAATATAACTAACAATGCTTTAAAATAAAATTAATAAATAAAAATCACTAAATATTAAAAAAAATGATCAAAATTAAAATTCTTTTTTATTAGTTTTAATGACTTGTTTTAAAAATTTGAAGACAAGAGAAAAGAAAAAATCTAACATTTTCACAATATAAATAAAATTAATAAATAAATAAAAAAAAAGAACATTTTGAAGGAAATAATACTATTTTAACATTAATAGCATTTGACTATTTATCTATGGAAATGAAACTTGACAGGAAGCAAAGAATAAAACATAGTTTTGATTATACAGCACATTAGACAAAATATTAATGACTTAGCAAAATAATTTAATAAAATGAAATTTATCAAATATTTTTTTGTCCGTTTAAAAACTACAAATGAAATAAATCTGCAAATTTTCTTCCTTAATTCTTTAAATGAATGCATTTCAATTAAAAAAAATAATAACTATTGTAAAACAAAAAGCAGACACATAAAATAAAAACTGAAATAATTAGCATCTGTAATCAGTAAGTCAGTTATATAAATATTCACAAACATGTATTTTGAACACACAAGCTTGTAGACTTAATTTTATGCAAAGAATAGTAATGCCTAAAAACAAATTTGACAGATGATTCTAGCCTTAGACAGAAAACTTTATTACAAAAACTGCAGTTATGAACAATTAGTTTTACTTTCTACAGGCAAAATGAATAGCTCTGGTTGAATCAACCAATTATTTATTAACTAATGACACAATATTAAGAAAATTAATTTAAACAAGCCTAATTTTTCTAAATAAAAATTAATGTCGCTTATAAAATTAATTAAACTAAGCAGTTCTAATAAAAATTATAAAACTCAAAATTAAATTAATTTAATCACTTTCATAATTAGATTTAAGCAAGAAAGATACAAATCATTTTCAAAACAATGGTACACGTCAATTTCCTCAAAGAAGGAAAACTAATAGTAAAAAATTATTTAAGAGATCAAAATAATCTGTTTTATAATTGTTTACGAACGGCATCAAATAAAATAAATTAACGTTGTTATTATAACACATCTTAAGTTTTCATCAAATAGTATCAACAACTTTCAAATTTAAATGACTACAATTAGTCGACAATGACAATAAATGATTACCGTGACAATAAGAATATAAAAAATCTTTGTTCCTAAAAGGAAAAGTTAGTAAATTATCAATTATTGCGAAATAAAATTAATGTTGACATAAAAGCAGCTAAAATTTGACTACACAATAGATTACAGCTACACATCACTAATTAAATTATTAATCAAAGCAGATATGGAGTATTCAGAGCTAGATAAAAAAAATATAGTATTAAAAATGTTTCCTATTTTCATAAATTATTAAAATTCGATTGTTTACATTTGTCATACCTCAAGATCTGTAAATTTATTATTTTAATTTCGATTTTTTGTTGAGTACTGCGGTTACTTTTTAACTGCAATTTCGTCAAATATGACGTAAATCATGATTAACAGGAATGTAAAGAATGGGTGCCCTTTAAAAAATAGTACTAGTGATCCGGCATAGAATCTTTTCAACTTTAAAAATTTTATTTTCATTGCAACCTTTTAAAATATTTTGGCCTTTTACGAACGAAATTTTATATAATGCACTGTTGGCAATATATTTTGCTAAACACTCAAATATGCAATTTTAGATAAAGCTGATTAGGCCACCTTTATTATTCTACAGTGGAAAATGCATTCACTTTTATTCCAAACTATGAAATGATAAAATGACTGAGTGATTAGTTAGTAGTTACATCTTTAAAAAAAATTTTTTTTCTTCATATTTATCGACTTTTGTTCGTAATGTGGAAACTTCGGTGTCAGACAGTCACATGGAATAAACGGTTTTCGTTCAAATATTGCACTATTTCTGAACAAGAAATAGGGGCGCAAAAAAACGGTATCAACTGAAAACATGTTTTCTAGGTTTTTCAACTCGGCACAAAACGCAGAATGTTTTTAAACTTTTTTTTATTGTTTTTGGCAGCAGATACGTGCGGCTGTCCACTGTTTATTTATTTTCATAAATGACCTCAGGTCACTGTATCAGAGTGGACAGTTTATTTATTCTTTCGACCTGATAAAGTTATAATAATGCGCATGGCTGTCATTCCATGCCTCCTCTTCTATCAAAAATGATTCCTGTAAAAATTTCCTCTTTGGTTCTTATTAGAAAACATGGTTTAATATTATTAGGCATGAAAAAAAGGGGTTTTGGTCTTGGCAAATGGAATGGATTTGGTGGTAAACTTGAAAATGGAGAGAGTATGCTTGAATGTGCTAAGCGGTGAGTAGTGTTAGTTTGTTGCATTCTTAAATCCTCTTTTATAATTTTACGGAGTTATTTATTTTCTCTTTAGAGAGTTGCAGGAAGAGGCTGGAATAACGGCTGAAAATCTGCAAAAAGTTGGTTATTTAAAGTTTGAATTTGTGGAAGATCCTTTGATAATGCACGTTCATGTTTATACGTCCTCGTCTTACCAAGGAGAACCTCGGGAAAGCGATGGTAAAATAATTTAATTTTAGTTATGGAGCTATGTGCATAGTTAGCTGGGATTAGTTAAATTTTTTATTTATTTATTTATTTACAAGATTAATTTTTTACATTGGGATCCTTAAAATTTGTTACTCATTCAGCATGGAAGCTCTCATAAACTTTTTTACGATAAAAAGAAACACTTGAAAAAATATTTAGTTTTTATAATTCATCTTGTACAAAGAAGACTTTAGAGCTCTTCCAATAATGTTAATGTGATAAATATTTATATTTTGATCTCTAATTATAGAACTGTAATATTTTTTGCTAATTTAAGTGGTAGTCTGCTACTGTAGGAATTACCAACTTAAATTAAAAGGAAAATTTCTGTATCAATGTTGTTGCTTTTTCCAGGCAGTGGCACATACTAAAAAAAATAAAAAATAAAAGAAGCTAGAAAAAAAACATATGTTAATTGAATCAGCTTTATAACATAATTTGTAGGTAGCCCCCAAAGGTAAACCACAACATATTTTTTAAAAAAAAATTTGCTAGCTAAAAAACTTTTTGATTATTTAGCAAAGGTAACTACTACAAAAATGTCCACTGTTTTCAGAGCAAATTTTATACCTCTAGGAAAAAAGGAGTGACTATTATAACTAAAAAAGCTATAAAAATTTATTACATTTTAAAATAATTTCAAATACAATTATGGTTAATTGAATATTACTTTTGTTTGAATAAAATAATTTATGGTATATTGATTAAAAGTTTATTTATTTATTATTATGATTTTTTTTTTGTAAATTTGCAGTAGAATAAAAATTTGTTCATTGATTACATTTGTTCATATTTTTAAGGTATAAATATGAAAATGATGTGCTATATCGAAATAAATAAAAAAATTTCTAAGTATGTGCTATAATAAGAATAACAAAATGGTGTTATAAATACTTAATGTTACATGATTTAACCTTATGATGAGATGATCATTAATGAAATAACTATTTTAAAATTTGCTTGTTTGATAGAGATACTTCAAGAGTAGTTATACAAGTTGTTATGTAACGTGTGATCGGGTCCACATAAAATTAGCCAATAGTCAAAACTGGGACTGGTCGATGTAAGAAATTTATATATATATATATATATAAATTTTAATTTTACATTAGACCTATGTCTTGAAGTGAAAACAAAGATAAACTTTATTTTAATTTTTTTTAAAAGTAAAAATGACTTAAGCTTTATTGATTTAAAAATAATAATAAAACTGTAACAAAATATATTTTACATACATGCATTAAAATTTTTAAAAAAGTAAAAAACAAACAAAAGAAATGTCTATTTTAGTAAAGCATTTTTTAAATTATTTGTTGAACAGAAAATGCTTTTGAAACATCGTTAAACCTTTTATTTATTTAAAATAATAAAGCTGTATTGACTAATTGTCAAATTCCATATTTAATAAATGTAAAAATAAATGAGTTGTTTTTATTTATTTATTATTATTTTCTCTTTTGAAAGTAAAATTGACTAAAGATTTATTGGTTTAAAATTGATACTGATTATCTAACAAATTATCAAACGAACAAGGATTAAAAGAGTTTTAAGAATTTTTTTTCATTTATTTTAAAAAATTAAGTCGTTTTAACTAATAGCCAATTTTTTTAAAAAACGATAATGCAAACTTTGTTTTATTTTCTTAAAAATAAAAGCAAATTAAATACATGTAGGCTAAGTATAAATTACTTAAGTACAAAATACTCCTATTAGATTGTATTGCTTAAAATAAACCAACAATAATTTTATAAAATCAATAAGGAATCATTTTTTTTATTCATATTTTCTTTTCATTACTAGATTGATTTCAGGACGACAAGGATCCTTGCATGAAATCGTTTCATCGTTAACAGGGTTGCCACTCCACAGGGAAAACCTGGAAAATACAAGGAATTTAAAAATCACCTAAAATAACAGGGAAAATGCAGGGAATTTGGATTTTTTCTTTGCAAACTGGGAAAATACAGGGAATTTTGTTTCTTATTTTTATCTTTTAAAAAATGCTGACCACTCAAAGCGTAATCTATGGAATATTTAACGATGATATTTCAGCTATACTAAACTATTTAATTTACTATTGCATTTTTTTAAGTATGTTCAGCTGATTTTCCAGCAATTAAAACTGATAAATATAGTTAGCCCTATATAGCTCACACAAGAGCGCAGTAATTGTTGTTTCCTCTTAATATATTGTGTATAATATGTACATGGAGAACTAGGGGAATTTTTTTTCCAGATTTGAGTGGCAACCCTGGTTAACCCCCGAGCGTCGCTTTATACATTAGGCTTAAATCAGATTTCTAATGCACAGCCTAAGAGAAAGGCTCTACATCGGCCTGTCGATCAATGCGTAAAATCAGTATTTCACGATACATTGATTTATCACCTGGTCCTAGTCAAAACTTAAGATATTTTCTTTTTGGTTGATCAGTAAAACTAGCACAAGAGATTAAAAAAAAAAAGGCTTCAGAATTTTTGTACCATTTGATACTGAGTTGTATATTTTTAGAATTGGGAAAATTCACTAATTTCAATTTCTTTGGAATACCATATGGAATTTTGTTTAAAAGAAAATTATATTTTCTAGTTTTATAATGACATAAGTCATGTAATTACATGAATAAGCCACTTTTTTTTCCTAAGTTTTTAAAATGACATGTACTGTTTAGTATTTTGAAAAATTTAATATTTTTAACAAAAATTTCGTATATAGTACATAAAACAAATTATATAAATTAGTAGTGTGTTTAGTTCTTTAGAGAACTAAGCACTAATTAAGTAGGTCAGTATTTTTAAAAATTATTCTAGGAATAAAAATGTAAATATTCATTTTGAAAAATCTTGCAAAATATGTAAATAAGACTTTTTTTTAATTTTTTATTCTGAAGAAAACAACCTCAATAATTTTTCTGCGAAAATCTTTAATTCTTGTGTCCATCTTTAGTAAAGAGGGATACATCTAATGTTTTTGGAATACTACTATTTTTTGGTTTGATTTGAAAGATTATTTTTGAGTTTTTTAAGAGTTAGTGTCTGAATGAATTTAAAAGCATTGGTAAAGATTTATTCATTTGGGTGATGTTTTTAGCCTTATAATCTGATGAAACCTCAAAATGCAACAATGATTAAAATCGTAAGAAAACAGGGTGCATAGCTTTTTTAAAAAGTGCTTATTTCTTATTTACGTTTTTTAAAAGCCCTTGAAGGTGCTTTTTTATTTATTTGAGGTTTGTAAAAATTGCTTAATTTTCTATTTTTTAAAATAAAATTTTTCTTTGCTATGTCGATTGTCGCTCTAAATTACAAAAACTGCTTGATTTTTACAATTTTCTCTGCAATATTTATCAGAAACTAGTTATTTTATCATAACTATGTAAAGTTTTTGAAATTTTTTTAAAATTGTATTGATTTTATGTTTAGAAATTTTGAACTTTAAAGAACAGGAAAAATAATTTTTATTATTGCACAGATTCTAATTAGGATTATTAATATTATTTGGAAAAGGATTAAAGATATTTTTGAGTGCTTAAAAAGTACTTAAAAGGTGCTTATTTTTTGTTGAAAAATCTGGCTACGCACCCTGGAAAAGATTACCATTTGCACTTATTCCACTTTCAAAATTAATAATTTAATTAACTAAATCGAAAGCGTGTTTTTTTTGTGTCTATTATTATTTCAAACCCATAAATTGAAATCGTTTATAAAAATTTCAGCTCAATTAGTGAGTAATGACATTTCTTCTTCTGAATTGTCTCAGCTCAGGACTATAGCCTGGCCACAACAAAGTCTCAGTGAGAATGAGAGCTCACCTCGTAACGTCTGGACTGTAATTTGTATTTTATAATATTGTAACCATCGCTGAACAGCCGACCCAATTTTTTCTGGGTTTGCGACTACTAATGTTCAACTCAGTAGCCTTGTCATTTTGAACCCAGTCCAGGAGACAAGGGAACTCCTGGATCAACTATTGGAAGAAATCTGCCTTTGTGCTGTGTTACACTGTGCTGATATTTCGTGTAGGACTTATTGATGCAACTAACCCGCATTTGTGTTAAAGAGAGAGGGAAACCACGAAAACCTTCCACAGTTTGCCTGATGGCATGGGGACTCTAACCTGTGATCTGTCTACCACTGAGAATATTTTATGTCAGCACTGTGAGCGGTACAAGTCGGATGCAGAATTTGTATCGATCATCCATCACCTCATCCTCGAACCCAGATCACCTCATTGGATGGAGAACGCTCTATTCCCTGGGCCATCATGGCTCACTTTAATTGTATTTATTTTATCCAATCATTGAACAGTCGACCCTATTTTGGGTTTACGACTACTAATGTTAAATTCTGTAGCCTTCTAATTTTGAACCAATTCAGAAGACACGGAAACTCCCGGATCAGTACCCCCAGAGGTATTGATTTGTTATGGGAACATGGAGGACTTTGCGGGCTCAGCAGATTAATCGTGCATCAGTCACCATTTACTACACGGGGAGTCTTTGACTATCCTGGCCCTACTTTAATTGTATTGTCATATCTGTTATTTTTCAATTACGTAAAGTTTTTTTTTTCTTCCCTCATAGAAATGTTGCCAACATGGTTTCCAGAAAATGAAGTGCCCTTTCACAAAATGTGGGCTGATGACAAGTTCTGGTTTCCTTTGTTTTTTAAAGGTGCCAAATTTAAAGGATATTTCAGATTTCTAGACATTGAAACGATTATTGAACAAAAGTTGGAAGAGGTCTCAAGCTTGGATGCATGCTGATTTTTTTATTTTTACGTATATATTTACTCTTTTGTATATACATATCTATCTTTACAAAGATATTGTAATATTTAACTGCATTTCTTTCACTGTGAATATCATGTATTTTTTTAAAAATAAATTTTTATAATGAGACTTATTTCACCTATAAGCCTACCTTCTGCTTTTTTTTCTAAAGTCTTGTTCTTTTTATGTAAAAAATCAAATAAAAATAAACTTAAATCTGATTAGAATTAAGCATTCATAGCTACCAACTCTTCTGGATTTAGATTTTTCTGTTTCTCCTTGTCTACTGGTTTAATTAAAATTCTCCCAGTTTTTGTTTTATTTATGCATTTGTCCTGTTTATGCATTTTAGAAAAATTCCGTAAAAAAAAGTCTCTATTGAAATAGAATTTTTGTATAGATTATTGCTTGCTTGAATATTTAAATAAGTACTATTACAAATGCATAATGAAGCGAATCTCTTTAATAGAAATCAGTTTAAAACTCTTTTTGTTATAAAATGTTCGATTTATTTTTATTCAGAACTCCTTTTTAAATTAATTAAAAAAATCTTTTAACTATCTTTGATGAATTAATTGCCTTTTAATATTCAAAATTATGAGTATACGTAATACATAACATTTAAAGTATGTTTAATGCCAATCATAACTAGAAAATATTGCAATATTTCTGATTTGATGACCATAAAAATCCCTAATATTCCCTATATGTTAAATATTTAGTACATTCTGCAACAATTATAATGAACTTCATATTTTGTGAAGTCAACTGGATTTTTTCCTATCCATGTTGACAGCTATGATCATTAATTGTATTAAAAATACATATAATTAGTTTAAAAATCACATTCTATAAATTATTTATTCAAAATAAAAAATGCTTCATAAATTATGTACATTTCTCTAAAAAAAGGTTTTTTGTAGCGTAATTTCTTAAATGTAAAAGAGATATTTTTAAAAAAATGATAGTTGGTGAAATTTCTTGCCGACCCTCCCATGGTCTGACGAAATATCGTTCTGTCCATTTTATTGATTTTCTAACAATTCTCTGTACATCATGGCGAGTGGAGTTTCCTGTTTGTTAAATGTGTCATCTAGCTGCGAAAAATTCATATCCTTCTAGCCGACATTAGAGTGAAATTCAGCTAAATTTTCGCAATGACGATGGCTCAATTAAAGCAATCAAAACCCGTATTTTTGTAAACATATCGCATTTTGCGATATGTAAAAATACAGGCTTTTGATTGGTTTAATTGAGCCATCGTCATTGCGAAAATTTAGCTGAATTTCGTCCTAGAAAGCCATTAATTTACGAAATATCGATTTTTTGTGTTCATACCATAGATTAATGAAGAAGCTAACCGACGGAAATTACACTGTGCTGATATTTTGTTTAAAGAAAATTCTTTTAAGAAAGAAGCGAACTTTCTATTCGATTTGGGGGCCTTGTATGCCCATGCTCTGATTGTATTATTGTCTCTTAGGAATTACGATATATCGTGCATATTGTTTAATTTCAATCAAAAATCTTAAATAAGTAAAAGGTAACNGAGAAGAAAACCACTTAAGATTTATTCGTTTAGAATTCTATCAAAATATTTTACTTACATGTATTGAAAGATATTTTTTTAAAATAAAAAATAGATATTGAGAAAATAATTGTGTATCTACATGTACACAATTACTTAAATTAGAAATTTAAAATTTTTGGGAAAAAAAATTCCTTTTTTTAAGTACTAGTACTGCACTTATTTTTAATTTAAAATTGATGAAATTGGATTGACGACTAATGGTCGTATTCTAAGAGAAAAAGTAATTAACGTAAATTTTATTTTAAATTTCCTTTTTTTTTGTAATTAAAATTGACTTCAGGTTTATTATTTTAAAAATAGTACTAATTTTCTTTCAAAATATTGAACTTACATGAAAGATGATAAAATTAAACACTTGTTAAATTATTCAACAAAGGAAAAGAATAACGCAACAAACGCGTCAAAACACTTCTGCTTAGCATTTTATTTAATTAAAATAAAATTGATGGCTGAATTCTAAAAGAAAATATTAACACAAACTTTTTTTTTATTAAAAAAAAGTTACTATGCAGTGAAAAATGATAAAATAAAAAAAAAAAAAAATATTGAACAAGTTGCGTTGAGAGAAATTTTTAAGAAAATAATGGGCTTAAAAAATGAACAAGAGATAATGTATGACTATGTGAGTAATTCTTCAAAATACTTATGGGGATTATATGCTTCTTCATCTAAACTAATTTAAAATTAAATTGAGTTAATTCATAGTACAACATAATTAAATATCCTCTCATCTGATGGTTTTCATCAGTGCGGAGAGTGTTGCGGTTTTTCGAAGTTCTAATGATGACTTGGAGGTTGTTATGTTTTTAGATTACACCATCACCCCCCCCCCCAAAAAAAAGGCCGGGGCCAGTCTAAAAGTTATGTGGTGCAGTTTGTTGCTTTTTTATAAAATGACACATTGTTTTTTTGAAGGTGGTCATTTATTTTCTTATCTAATTTGAGGGCAAAATGTCAACCGGACTGCGTAGGGGTCAGGGGACTGGCCTTGCACCAGAAAGGTTCTGGATTTAAATCCCGGACAAGGCATGGATGTTCTTTTATTCTCTGTGCTATCTGTCCTTACTGTGGAAGCAACGTTGGCTCACTCCATGGGGTGTCCCTGAAAGATTGCCTAATAAATCTGCTCTCATACTACGCCTGAATTGACAAAATGTTAACCCAGGTGGGCATTGGCAATAAAAATCTGAGGTCTGCATGAATAATATCGCTTCTAACGAACTTCCCTGTTCCAATTCTCTTGTCTGAAATTCATGAGCTAATTTTGATTCTTACAACCCTTTTTTTAAGAAAATTTCGTCTAGGAGCAGGCAATATCTAAATTATTCAGCGTTTAACGTAGAGGAAGCTCGGAACACATCTAAAGTGGTTATAATTAACTATTTAGTTTGTTTAAATTTTCAGGGCTCAAAGTTGTCCTTAATTATTAAAAATTTCAATAAGTATGTAGAAATTTTTGTATTTTCCAAATCTCTGTTGAAGTTAACAACAAGAATAAATATTATTTATCTTAAAGAGAATTAAAGAAATTTCAAATTCAGAAATTTTTGTTATTTGCCTTGAAACAAAGTTATGTACCAACGTCTTCATAGCGTGTCAAGTCTGATATTAGTTTACTAACCATTGTTAGAGACTGAGAACATTCTATGCGTGAGAGAAATACATAAAAAGATCGCTTTTCATCACTATATCATACTCTACTAATTTTAACGAGTACGATTTTTTACTAATTTTTATTTTATATATATATATATATATATGTATGTATATATATATATCCAAAAAAACTGGTATACATGCCTAATATCGTGTAGGGCCCCCGCGAGCACGCAGAAGTGCCGCAACACGACGTGGCATGGATTCGATCAATGTGTGAAGTAGTGCTGGAGATAACTGACACCATGAATCCTGCAGGGCTGTCCATAAACCAGTGGGAGTAAGAGGGGGTGGGGATATCTTCTGAACATCACGTTGCAAGGCGTCCCAAATATGTTCAATAATGTTCATGTCTGGGGATTTTGGTGACCAGCGGAAGTGTCTAAATTCAGAAAAGTGCTCTTGTATCCACTCTGTAGCAATTTTGGACGTGTGGGGTGTCGCATTATCCTGCTGAAATTGCCCAAGTCCGTCGGAATGCACAATTAACATGAATGGGTGCAGATGATCAGACAAGATTCTTAAGCACCCGTCACCTGTCTTATCTAGACGTATCAGGGGTCCCATATCACGCCAACTGCGCACACCCCATACCATCACAGAGCCTCCACCAGCTTGAGCAATCCCCTGTTGACATGTAGGGTCCATGGATTCATGAGGTTGTCTCCATACCCGTACACGTTCATCAGCTCGATGCAACTGGAAACGAGACTCGTCAGACCACGCAACGTTTTTCCAATCGTCAACAGTCCAGTGTCGGTGTTGACGGGCCCAGGCAAGGCGTAAAGCTTTGTGTCGTACACGTGCGGGCCTTCAGCTCCGAAAGCCCATATCGATGATGCTTCGTTGAATGGTTCGCACGCTGACACTTGTTGATGACCCAGCATTGAAATCTGCTGCAATTTGTGGAAAGGTTGCACGTCTGTCACGTTTAATGATTCTCCTCAATCGTCGTTGATTCCGTTCTTGCATGATCTTTTTCCGACCGCAGCGATGTCGTAGATTTGATGTTTTACCGGATTTCTGATACTCACGTTATACTCGTGAAATGGTCGCACGTGAAAATCCAAATTTCATTGCTATCTCGGAGATGCTATGTCCCATCTCCTGTGCGCCGACTATAACACCTCGTTCAAACTCACTTAAATCTGTATAACCTGGCATTGTAGCAGCAGTAACCGTTCTAAGAACTGTGCTAGACACTCGTTGTCTTATATACGCGTTGCCGATCGCAGCGCTGTACTTTGATTGGCTCCATATATTGGCTTATTTGCATACTAATGCCTGTACCAGTTTTTTTGGCTCTTCAGTGCATATATATATATATATATATATATATATATATAAAACAAGAGAATTGTTGCGTAATTTAAAAGAAAATCGGAGTTTTCTTAAAAATGTTTCTTTTTATTTGCTTAAGTGCAGGAACTACTGAAACTACTAACAAGTATATATCTGCGAATCCATGTTGGTATTAATAAATAAATTTTTCCCATTAGAGAATCAGCATCCTTAAATTTGGAGGCAATTTAGTTCACAAAAGTCCGTTAGCATTCCAAAACGCAACTTTCATGGGAATAAATTTATTCTTGTTGTTGCATCAGGTTTTAGTTTCCTGATAATTTTGCGAGGGAATCTGCTGTCTTCAGCTATTGAGGTTAAGGGCGCTTTTTCATTACACGACACGATAACGACAAAACGGATCCGATGGTCGGCGAACGACATAGGGTCAAGTAAAATACATGATCAGCAACGGAGCGCTTTTTCACTCACCGATGCGATAACGATTATGTCGTATCCGACAAGGCGATATCGTTTGTCGGAATCAAATGTCGGTTAGGCAAGCAAATTTCTCCTCAAATAGTGGCGATTTTATTAGTTGTTGT